CTCCATTTGACAACAATAGATGCCATGCGCAACCTTCCCACATCAGATGATGACAAGTATCATGGCCCGTACGCAAGCAAGGTAAAAGAGTATGAGACTATTTTTTGCAGCTCCTGATATAACTTTGTTCAGGTGTCCACTTCTTCAGCAGCTCTCGATCTTGCTCATATCTCGCAAACCTCTCCTCGTTCTCGTTTCCATGCTTTGGAAGCTCGAGAAAAATCTTCGTCCGAGTGGCCTCAGTTCATTGGTGGCCCTCGTGGACCAGATGGACTTAATTCTCGCACAGAGAGGAGGACTGTGACGAACCCTAACGTGACCTTGTCTGCTCCTCCTGAAGATCATAATGGAGTAAATGCTATTCCTACCTCAGCAACCCCCCTCCTACAACCGTTATCGCAGGTTCCAAATCTCTCCCATGTGCCTTCACCCAGTCCGCGACGAGGCTCGCCTCCGAGCCTGCTCGACGGCATCTCCAGCACAGCTCGCTCTGTTCCGGGTACGCCCCTTGGGGTTCATGGCAATACGAACCACTTGAAGGCCCCTCAGGGTAGCCCTAACATCGCTGAGGCTCTTTTGTTGAATACTCGGCTATCAGGTCATCATCAAATGAGTGAAACTTCCGGCAGCCCCAACGACTTGCAAGCATCTCTCTCTAGGATGAATCAGCAATCATACGACAATCCTTCACTGGCATTTAGTTCTATGAAAGCCGGTCCCTTGGATGAAGTGCGTTTCTCCCTTGATTAGTTTGTCTTTCTTTCGTTGACTATCACAACTAGCAACAATACGGTTTGGAATTTGATGTAGATGGAGGTTTGGATAATGGTCGTTATAGTGCTTACAGCTCCAATCACGGTACTGCCAACACCACCAGTGGATCTACGGCACTCTATCATCACAATGGATCTCGTTATGGTTTAGGATTGCCTGGACGCCCCAACACTAGTGTAACGGATAACAAGATGAATGGTCTGCACGGACCCAAGCACAAACGAGGAGATATGGACCGTGAATGTTAGTCAATCTTTCGCATCATAACCATTTTTATTGACGACGTCTTCCAGTCAACCGCTTCGCCGGCACACGCCTAGAAGATCTCAAGGGTGAAATCCCGGCTCTCTGTAAAGATCAACACGGTTGCCGATATCTGCAGAAGAAATTAGAAGAAGGAAATCCTGACCATCGGGACATGATCTTCTTCGAGACCTTTAAACACTTTGCGGAATTGATGACTGGTACGAAAATCTCATCAGTTATTACACTGTTGTCTAGGAGATATTCGACTGATCTTTCTCTCTGCAGATCCTTTCGGCAACTACCTTTGTCAGAAACTCCTTGAGTACTCTACGGATGAGCAACGCAATCTTCTCTGTGATTCGGTCGCTCAGGACCTTGTGAACATCTCTTTAAACATGCATGGTACCCGTGCAGTTCAGAAGATGGTCGATTTCCTCTCGACTCGACGACAGGCAAGTGTGTTTTTTGCTTTTCCATCACCCGTTTTGAATGTTAAATGCGTAGCAGGCCGATCATCGATACAACGCTCAGATACATTCCATCATCAGGGCATTGAGTCTACACGTCGTCGTGCTTATTAAAGACCTGAATGGAAATCACGTAATACAGAAATGCCTCAATAAACTTGCTCCGGAGGACAATCAAGTACGTGTCTAGACATTGAAATGCGACATACGTGTGACAACCTATGTCTCCAGTTCATCTATAATGCTGTTGCCGCTAACTGTGTAGAAGTTGCTACTCATCGTCATGGGTGCTGTGTTCTCCAGCGATGCATTGATCATGCCTCTGATCATCAGCGTGTTCAACTTGTGACTGAAATCACATATCATGCTCTCACTCTCGTCCAAGATCCTTATGGAAATTATGTGCGTACTCCTGTCGTCGCGCTCAATGCCGGACTTACGTTTTGAACGCAGGTTGTGCAATATATTCTCGACCTCAACGATAATCGTTTTAGTGACGCTGTAATTCGCCAGTTTATTGGCAACGTTTGTGCACTTTCTGTACAAAAGTTCAGCTCTAACGTCATTGAGAAGGTTCGTGAATCTCCTTGCTTTACTACATTTAGGAGTTCAAATTCTCTACTAGTGTATTCGTGTTGCGGAACACAACACACGTAAGGTCCTTATTGATGAGCTTTTGAATCGTACTCGTCTGGAGAAATTACTTCGTGATTCTTATGGGAATTACTGTGTTCAGGTTTGTAATTCATCTCATTGTCATGTCACTTTCTTTTGACTACTGTATCCACTACACAGACCGCTCTAGACTATGCTGAACCCGGGCAACGTGCACTCTTAGTGGATGGCATTCGCCCAATTCTCCCATTGATACGAAATACACCATATGGCAAACGTATCCAGAACAAGCTCCAACGCGAGCACTTGGATAACTACGGAGGCTATCACGTTCAGCCCACTCTAGGTGGCCTTGGCCTTAGCAATCAAGGAATGGGCGTTTCTCATGGTCCTGGAGGAGGTCGTCATCCAAGCCATCATTCCAACCCTCTAGCTGATATCTACGCTGGTCAAAATGGCCTCTACTCTATGACGCAAAGTCCGGCATCTTTCAATCAGCATCTCGCCGGGTCCCAATTACATGGTCTCCAACCGCAATCGATTGACGGTTATGTCTTACAGAGTAACTCTAGCCACAACCAAAGTGGACTCTCTTCGCATTCTCACGGAGGCGGGTTCTCCGGTTCTCCTTTCACCACTCCTTTCGCAGGAACTGGTGTATCTGCTAATTCTCTGGTTGATCCTTACCAAAGGAACTTCCAGGGTTATGCAATGTAAACGCACGGCGATGGCCACCCTCAACAGTCATTTCCAATATGGACTTAAACTCTTTCTAATCGCTTGACCCCGCGTCCGATACCTTAAAAACCTACTCTACCGCAAACCTTTTGAATCGTTTCATCATTCATTCTCGTCTTTTTTGCCAGACGTGGCCGTAGTATCATCTAACTCATCGGCGCTTACAATCCGAATCTATATTTCATACCACACACAACGCCTTTTCCCGCATTGTATTCTGCAACCGGCATTACACTACCATTGCTTTTCCTGCTTTCCTGTCACAACCACTTTTTATTGCCGCTACTCATTTGTACAGGTTATTCCCTCACGCACCTAACTCGGTTGTCTGTCTTATAGTATCCTCCTTGCAGCACTATTTGTCTGTCATTCTGTAGTTGTTCAAAATGAAGCTGTATAAAGTCAATCGATAAATAGAAAATGCGGATTCGATCATCAATTTAGGATGAATGAACGACCAAGGAAGGGTCCGTGCGATACACGCGTTGTCACACTTGCTCCCGACACACTTGGGAATCTGGCAGAAAGAAATATAAGTAGAAAACAACTGGTCACATGAAGGTTCAAAATCACACAAGACTCAAATGAATTTCATCACGACGATATTCAAGAAAAAGTCATATCGCGACCCAATTGTTGAGAGAAAGACTCTATTATAAAGCACGTTACAGCATCAGTCTCTCTTGCACAGTTGCATACAGTAATTTTGTCATAGTTGATTGGTTTGGGCATAGCATAATCTCCATCGAAAGTACTGTTCAATGTAGTGCAGTGGAAAGGAAAATACGACAGGAAGTGATATGCCAAATGGACTGTTCACCGGTTCTAAATTTGCCAATGGCGTCGTTCATAAGTGGATATTAATCGATAGCTTGCACACTCACCTTGGTGAAACCGATAGCAGACGCCTTCTCACGGAAGCACTGACGGCAAAGATCGAGACCATATTTACGGACAAGACCAGCCTGGTGGGCGCAAAGTCGACTATAGGTTGCCACACAAAAAGTTGTTATAAAGATATGTTCCGCATGCAAGGAAAAGTCACCCACCATTGACGACTACCCTTTCCAAATTTCCTGGGGCGAGAGAACCACACAGCGTCGTGAGTCATTTTTGAGGGTCAATTCCTTGAAGAGTCTAGCATTTGATGAATTCTCGTGCGGAACGTAAGGACAATTTCACTCACCGCGTTAGCTACGGCGAATTTTGGCACACAATTCCTTGTCAGGAGGATGAGTGCGTGCCGCTTACGTGAACTGTATAGCACTCGCATTTAGAGTTTGATCCAGAATCAGCACCCGGTACGAGACTATTTGACTTTATTGTTCCACATATTGGGGGAATTCAGCATAAACGAATGCGTGGATTTGAAACGACTGTCTCAAAGTGGTTAGCTGTACCGTCGATTCAAAATTAGTTGTATGTACCTGTTCTTTTCGAATCGATTCAGTTGTATTTGAGGCGGGGTTTGAGCGAGATCGGCAATGTCCGCATCTGTCGTCCACGGATTCGTTGCCCTACTGAAGTAAGTATTGTGAGTCCAGGTTAGGGATGGGTCTAGTAAACGAAGCGCCATCCTTCCATCAACGACACCATGTTCTGCACCAAGACTCTTCATGGCTTTACACTCAGTGCCGCCACTCAAAACAACATTTTTTTTCTTCACTTGCAGGTCCCAAAAATCTTTCTTCTATGCACGGTCTTCCGTTTTGGCAGCTTGGTCTGACCTTCCATAGTTTTTCCTTTGACTATAATTCTGCTATGAATAAATTTCTTCCATTTCTATGTCACGCATCACGTCACTCTGAGGCGGGGTAACCTTGCCAGTGAGCTGTGCTCTGCTGGGGGGTACTTATTGGCCATCTCGAGACCTTCCTTCTTGAATATCAAGTCCCAAGTTGCATGCGTTATATTTCCTTTGAGTTACATATTTATACATCAACACCACGCGTTCTCTCTTCCACCCTGCTTTTCATTTTTCTTATAGTCACCCTACTACCTCACCTCAGCTGAACGTTGTCTGATTTCAGTCAATGAAGAAAAGAGTCTTAGTTGCAATTATATTAGAAAGAAATGATCTGGGACAGGACAGATGCGGATTGCACACTGTCTTATTTCTTACTGGGACTGGAAGCTCAGGGAAGGAAAAACATGTGTAGTAGCCCACCGCGAGGGTCGAACTCGCAGCCTTCAGATCACCCGACCTAAGAGTCTGACGCTCTATCCGATTGAGCTAGGCGGGCGATGTAAACTTTAAACATTGATGAATATATATATGTACTCCTCAGGCTTAGCGGCTGATCATGTACATATATCGTATTAAAACTCAGTTTTCATGAGGCCAATGAGAGCCTCGAGGCGCGAGGACCACGTGACCAGTAAGCCTTGAGAGCGATTGTAGTGTACTAGTTAGACAACACTTACAATTGCTCTCTAGGCGAGTATTCCCTTAGTCTTTCTCAACTGAATCCAAGAAAATAACAATTGATCTCTAGGTCCTCGCTGACTTTAACTACATTTATTTGTTGCGCTACTACGGCACTTTACAAGTG